TGACCTGAGCAAGGGTGTTACATCCCACCCTAATCTTCTTCAACATAATCCAACCTTGCCTCATTAACCAAAGGCAGATATTAGGATTTACAACATATAGGAAAATTGTATCAATCACAAAATGGAGGACAACCACACAATACTGGGAATCACGGCCTAACCAAGTTGACACATATTTTTGGGGGACACAACTCAATCCATGACAAGTAGCATCTCATATGGAATGACAATAAATGTTAGGAAGGTCTGTCTCATTCTCCAACTGTCTCCTAAATCAGTGGCGTCACTAGGGGGACACAGCGGGTGTGAACTGCACCAGATGACATTGCCAGAGGGGGGACACCAAAATGACTGCCTATAAAATTTTTGTGCAGTGTTTCAGTAGAAATTTATTATTTTTTATAAAAATATTCCTATAGTTAGTTATAACAACAAAAACATTTTTTGTAAGCCCAGCTTACGTGTATCAATATACCTACTAGGCTAAAACTCTACGCTAATTTACTTTTTTAACTTTCTAATGTGTTCCAGTCAGAGCTGTCATTATTACCCAATTACAATGACAGTTTGAATCACGTGGTTTTGTCTGCATGCACTAAAGCACACACTGCTGTTTTCGTTGCTGCCAGTGTTTTTATAGTTGCTGATTTTGTCAAATTTTCTGGTGTTTTAGCTACAATATTGTGATAATTAGTATTTGCGAACCTACATCAGTAACTTTTTTAAGAATGAAGTAGTAAATAAAGGAAAAGAAGGAGTGATATATGGGAATTATGATTTACAAATAACATTAGTACAAAAAACATTATAAGGATTCTTTCTGTATGGTCTGGTATGGGAGGAGGCCCATGAAGGGGGGGATAGTGACACCATGAGTTACCACACTGGGTAACACCAATCCTAGTGATGCCACTGTCCCAAATACCCTTCCCCCCCCCAAAAAAAGCTGGTATGTGTTACAAAAATATACTTATTTTAAAAGCAAAGTTACTCATGTTCTATAATATTTATAGCACTAAATATCTAAATTCACTGTCAAGGACACCTGGGAGATAGTTATAATCAAAGTTGTATGACCTATATATTGAAAATTCCAACTTAATAGATTAAATTGACACTTTAGCCTAATATTTGTATAATTTCTGCTATACAGAATTATATCAGATATTTCAAAACAATTTAGCTTAAAGGGCTACATAAGAAGTACTTTTTCAGGACAAATTTTCCCAAAATACCTAATACACAAGGTAAAAGTAACAGAAACTAATAACTAATAGAAATTTTTGATTACCTAAAGAGTTTGTTAGCCCGAGGAGAAAGGTGAATCTTAGGAAAACAAGCCCCCATCTCTGGTTTATTTATTTTTTCTTTACCAGACTTTTCCCTACTGTCTATGCACACCAGTTCATTCTTCCATGAATGAAAGTAACATAGAAAAGATCAAAAAGATAGGCAAGAAATGTAGCCACAGAATTGAAAGATCTGTACACTGAAAACTATAAAACATTACTGGAAGAAATTAAAGAAGATAAATAAATAGAAGGACATTCTGTGCTCATGGATCAGAAGACTTAATATTATCAAGATGTCAATACTAACTAAAGCAATCTATAGATTGAATGCAATAGCCATCAGAATACCAACAACCCTTTTTGCAGCAATGGAAAAGCCAATCCTCAAATTTATATGGAACTTCAAGGTGCCCTGGATAGTCAAAGCAATCTTGAAAAAAGAACAAAGTAGGAGGACTCATGCTTCCCATCCTCAAAATGTCTTAAAAAGCTATAGTAATCAAAACAATCTAGTGCTGGTACAATGCTAGATGTACAGACCACAGAATAGAATTGAGAGTCAGAAATAAACCCATCCATCTATGGTCAGTTGACTTTCAACAAGGATGTTAACTCTATCTAATGGGGAAAGAATAGCCTCTTTAATAAATGGTGCTGGGACAACCGGATTTCCACAAACAAAAGAATGAACCTGGACCCATATCTCATGCCATATACAAAAACTAACTCAAAATGGATCAAACACCTAAATGTAAGAATTAAAACCATAAAACTCTTAGAAGAAAACATAGGGGTAATCATTTAATATAGGAAAACATAGGGTAAATAGGGGTAACAGTTTTTAATAATGGATTCTTAGATATGACACCAAAAGCATTATCAACAAAGGACAAAATAGATAAATAGGACTTAATAAAAATTAAAAACTTTTGTTCATCAAAGGACTTTATGAACAAAGGGAAGAGACAACCTACAGACTGCGAGAAAATTCTGAGGAAGCAGGTATCGGATAAGGGTTTAATATCCAGAATAAAGAACTACTACAACTTAACAACAAAAAGATAAACAACCCAATTAAAAACGGGCAAAGGACTTGAATAGACATTTCACCAAAGAAAAAATACAAATGGCCAACAACGACATGAAAAGATGCACAGTGAATTAGTCATTAGGGAAACGCAAATGAAATACACAATGAGATATCACTGTATGCCACTAAGATTTCTTCTCTCACTACCGTTAAAAATTCTCAGCAAATTTCCTCATATATTTATTTCTTCATAGGGAAACTAGATACCACTCATTAAGCATGAATTATTTACCTCAAATTCTTTCATACACCTTAATTCTGAACTTACTGGTAACCATCCCCATCTTTACCTACTTTTTTCTCATCGGAGATGAAGAGGGAACTAACTGCTTTCCTTGTAATAGCAATCCTTCCATCTGTATTCATCAAAGACTTGAACAATAGGGTTAAGAATTTTAGTTTTCTTTCACATACAAGAAGTAGGACTCCTATAAGGAAGAAGTTTATTCTACATTGGAGCAGAATTCAACTTGAATTAACTTAATTTTCCCCCATTTAGAACACATACCAGGATTTCAATAAAAATGGTCAACTTCTCCACTAGCCGGTTAGTTCAGGTCAGTAAAACATATACTGATTTTAATCTATGACAGTTATCATATTACGTGATAAGGATACAAAGATGATTAAGACATGATCCTCACCCTCGAGAAGTTAGGCTCTAAATTTGAGAGATTCAAACTGTAACTTCATTAGGAGAGAGATATGTACTAGATACAAGCGGAGCACACAGGAGGGGCAGTTAGCCCTAGTGAAAATGATACATCAGCTGAGTCTTGAAGGATAATCAAGAGTGAGTCAGGGGAAGAAAGGTGGGGCAGGCATATCTGTCAGAGCGCTTATGCCAAGAGTAGAAGAAGAAAGACATAGGACACGAGAGAGCATGGTATGAAAGCTACATGCTAAGTGACAGTGCTGACTGCGCCATTTACCTAGCTTTGAAAATTTATGATTGTGGCAGACTCAAAATGAGGCTATATTTCCTTCCCTGATATAGAATTAAAACAAGTGAGGGGACTTTCTTCTCACAGAGCGTAAATGGACAACTAAAATTTCTTCCAACTGCTTGGTTGTTTGTGCTTGTGTATTATTCTCACTGGTCTGGAGGTAGCTCTCATATCTCTCCTTCAGGGAAGACTTCCAGGTCTATTTTGCTTCTTTAAGAGTTAAATTTCAACAGTTGTATCTGTAGGCATATGTATATACATGTCTGTGTGTGCTGCATATATATTCATAATATAATAAAGCACACAGGGGGCACTGTTACAGAGACTTCCTAGTCATATCCAAACACCTCTCAGGATTGGTTTACTGGTTAAAGGGCTTAGGTCCATAGTCTCGTGGGACCACTTGATCAATTGACATAACATAGTTCATAAAGATAATGTGGTACATCCTAGTTTGGTGAGTAGTGCCTGGGGTCTTAAAAGATTGCCAGCGGCCATCTAAGATACAACTATTGGTCTCTACTCATTTGGA